CACTTATATACTCGGGTGGAATCGATAACTAATACCTCTACTACCTCAGTGGGTACCAGGCACGGTTCTATTTCTCTGTGCGTCGTATCTGGTCCTGTCCTTCACCAGCAGGTGTGTCTCTATTTCTCAGTGCGCCGTCTGTTCCTGGTCGCGCTGTGTGTCCTCATTCCCCAATGGTCAAATAGAAGCAAGAATACACTGCGCCTTGCTCCACTACTCTCCAAAGGCGCAAAATGAGAACGCATACCCCACTACCACATGGAAATAAAAGGGCCTTTAAGAATCAGACCCCGAATGGATGCCCCAACACCAAGGGGCCCGGCCGGGCAGAACTTCGATTCACGAGCAGCAACTCAAAAGACACAGTTCCTGAAGTAGGTGAATGTCGCATCCATAATGAAGTGAAAATTTTGAAAAGCCATTCAAGGTCACAAACTGAACGAACAGGTATTGGACACAATTTTCAAGACTGAGTTCGGGTCTTCCGACTTCAAATCTGTCGATCTAACTACAGGTCCTGTCCAGTCATAATCCCACGAGTCGATGAAAAGACATGTCGCCTCGATGAAAAGACACGTCTGTTCGGTACCGAGTCAAAGGCTCTACAGTCCAAGTCCAGTCATAATCCCACGAGTCAGTCCTGATTCAGACTACCGTCTTGACGCGAATAGAACACCCGCCCGGTCACTACAGAGCTGTTCGTAGGGCAACTTCAAGCCTTGATACAGCGATAATGACCGGGCGTTCGATTCGGGTGAAGACGGTAGGAGTCTAACAGACAGGCGCGATGGCCCAAAGAAGCAGCAGACCATGGGAAGGGATACTGGGACACACACTACTTTCAACAGCGGGTACTGGGCAGGAGTCCCAGACACTATAGAGGGACACACACTCTGCAACAACAGGAGGCTGAATGCAGGCCGCGCCAGGCCAGGCCAGGCCAGGCCAGGCCAGCACTATAAAGGACTGGCCAGCCTCCCGTTTGGACAGATGCTCACTTGGCATGAGAGTGTGCAAGTGCAGTGGCACTTGTGCCCTAGTTGTGTGTGAGCTCCGCTAGGCTGAAGAGCAGCGCTATATGAGAAGGAAGGGAAGGCAGCCATAGCTAGAGGGAAGGCAGCCATAGCTGCGCCAGCGGCAGTTAGCATAGTAGTAGAGATAGTCAGTAGGAGAAACCAGTGGGTAGTATTCAGAGTAGATCCTCATGTGATAGCAAGAGTGCATGCATGATGTGTGAGAGAGAGAGAGAGAGAGAGAGAGAGAGAGAGAGAGAGAGAGAGAGAGAGAGAGAGAGAGAGAGAGAGAGAGAGAGAGAGAGAGGATGAAATGTGAGTGCAGACGGGGTCCACAAACAATAGCTGGAAGGGTGTGAATGCTCGGCACTCTACTGTTAAATGAAGAGACCAGATACAAAAGAAAAGAAGTTAAAAAAGATGCCAAACAACTCAGTGTCAGAGGACGGAAAACCTCCAAGAATAATAATTAAGAACAAAAAATGTTCGGATGTTGAAAAAAAAAAAAGGAAGCAAAAGATGCCGAAACAACTTATTTAAACGGCACAATTAACTTTATGTGGATCAAAAAAAGAAGGGAAAAAAAAAAGAAAAACAAACTACCAAACACAAACTTATCGCAAATATAAAAAACAGTACGTTACTATGTCTATAACTGTGTTAGCAGCCCCCCCCATCTTCTCCTCCTACCTCTCCACCAGTTCCTCCCATTCAACTCGGCAATTTCACTCACACCTTTGCCCACTTTTCACCCCGGCTTCCCAACCACCACATACATTCCCCCTCCTCTCTCTCTCTCTCTCTCTCTCTCTCTCTCTTCATCTCTCTCTCTCTCTCTCTCTGTGTCTCTGTACAGCTTGCAACACATGCTGCAAGCACATCTTTGCCTAAATCGCGTGGCAATCGTATGGTGCCTCGTTAGCGAAAGCACATTTCACCAAACCTGTCACTTCTCCCATTGTATGCGCCGACCTATTTCTCCACATATTATATATTGGCCTCAAGTTAATTCATTCACTCCTTATTAATAGCTGAGCAAAGCGCCAAGGAAGTCCACGTAACTCCCACCCCCTTCTCCCTGTTGGCTGCTCCTCCAGAACGACTCCTCACAGAAAATACCTTCCCCATCTCCTGATCCACTGTCGATTCTCTCCTACACAGAATATCCATCGCCCCAACTTCAGAACTGACCATACCCCAGCAGTCAAACTTTGCCTCTCTCTTCACACCAAAGCAGTCAAACTTTGCCGTAAGGAAATTTGCACTCCATTGGGAACACATCCTGTCCGACTCTGCTTCCCTCTTCACACCACAGCTGTCAAACTTTGCCTCTCTCTTCACACCAAAGTAGTCTCCCTGACAAAGCCTGTATGATCGATCTCTCCTGTGTTTGCTGTACATGCAGAAGTCAAACCTGTGTGATCAGCGCTGGGATTGGAACCACGCGAGGAAAGCATTTTGGCCCCATGAGGAAATGAAAAATGAAGCTACTGTGTCCAATGATGTTCTCTTCAATACAAAACACTTGAAAGAACAAAAAAAAAAACATTCATCAAGAATGCCTGCCGACTTCTGTCCCGTTGCTTCTGCCCACCTTGTGAGACAGATCTCTCTCTCTCTCTCTCTCACACACACACACACACACACACACACACACACACACACACAC